ATCGACCATGGTTTAAATGTTTAAGTCATTTCATTATTTAAATATCAAGATTATTAGCGTCTCTACTTGACTAATATACATTCATGTAGAATTGTAGAGTGGTCATATAATACTCATCAATCATTAATTAATACAACTAGTCCTTCGTGTGCACAAAAAATAAATAAATAAAATCATTAATTACGCTACTCCACCCACTACCAGTCTACCACTACTCTTTCCATGGTGGGACATTAATATTTCTTTAAAATTACATAATCGATCTGAGAATTTTTTTGGGGTAATTTCCTAATTGATTAGGTATTTTTTTTTTGATTATCTTTCCGTAAACCTATTTGAAATTGACCTAAAAATTTTGAAAATAATTTTTTGGTTTAATTTTTGGGTTTAATTTCAAATAGTTTTAAGGAGAACACACAAAATAAATAAATAAATAAAACTAATTACCTCAAAACAAAGACTGAGAAAGGATTTGCGATCGTTTGTTATTAGACTTCTTGGATCTTTTGTGTTTCTTTCGATCCAGCAGCATTGATATTCATGTTCCTTTCCATGTTTTCCAATGAACTAGACAAGCTTTTGTGAGAAAATGGATGAGTTCAATCGTATCTATCACAATCATGAAGCATCTCAATTTAAAGTTTGTAACACATTGTTCTTGGGTTAGACCAACCATACCGGATTTGGTGAAACGATGATGGAACATATAAGCTTGTTTGCATTCATCTTGCTAAAAAATCGGTTGAAGGTGGTGGTCATGGTGATGAAAAGGAGGAGCAAATGGAAGGGGTAGTTATAATTTCATGTAATTTGCTAATATATAAATAATTTTAATGTAATTTGTTTCATTATGATTTAATTTGAACCCACTTATAAAAAAATATTATATTCGCCACTAAATTAAATGCCTGATCACAGTTGAATCAAGGTGGTGATCAACTGATCATGATGATGAGGATGAGGAGAATAATATTACCGATAAAAAGGAGGGGAATATGGTACCTCTACAGTCACGTACACACTCTAAAATATCTACAGTCAGCTAAAGTTAAAGTTAAATCATAAAAGGTAGCAAACACAAATTTTATTCTTAAGCAATTACTTGCGTACATATAAAGGCCTTAAAATACGTAAAAAAAAAACTAATACTAATAAGTCTAATCTTAAGTTAACAACTTTTTAACTTGTGCCAAAAATATAAAAAACATGAATAAGTTATTGGACAATGTACCACGATTTACTCCACTACACTATACAAACTTACTAGTTCTAACTACAATACTACTAAGTTGCTACTATTATCTAAGAGAATAATTAGCCATTAACAATTGACTAATTTAATTAATAACTATTAACATTTTGAAGCATTTTTACTAACACACCCCATGTTTCAAATTTGTAAATATTGAAGCACATCTTTTTAAATTTGTGATGCACGTCTCATCACCTTCAAGTTTTACTTGTTGATGCACTTCTCACCCACAACTATTAAATAGATTCTCTTCCCAAGCATTTATGCTATGGTCTATTGCTCTTCACCTTTGGACTTACAATTCTTTCCCATATGCTCAAATTTTTGACAATTAAAATACTTAGGTTTTCCCTTATACTAACATTTTTTTCCTCGTGACCAATTTTGTGACAAATTTTGCATTGAAGGGACTTGCCTTTCCTCCTTTTATAAGGAGACTTTGCTAGAAAAGGTTTTTCACTTTTGTTTTTACCATTTTCATTTCATGGACCTCCTTTGATCCACTGCATGTAGGGAATTGATCAACTCCAAAATTGTCAACTTTGAAAAATCGTTAGTATCTTCAATCGAAGAAAGTTTAGCTTCATACCTTTCGGAAGATTAACAAGAAGTTTGTCCACTACTCTTTGATTGTCAAATTCTCCACCAAGTAATTTGCTTTGTTTGCAATGGACATTAACCGACTCCCGTATTTCTTGACACCTTCACAACCTTTCATCCCCATCATTTCAAACTCTCTTTTAAGGTTCAAAATTTGCATAAGTTTGATGGTTTCCTTCATACTCCTCCTTAATCTTTTCCCATGCTTCTTTAGGAGTATCACAACTCATAATAGTTGTGAAGATTCATTCTGACACTACCGAATGTAGACATGAGAGTGCCTTTGCTATTTTTGCCATATCCCATCATATTTTTTTGGATTGGGCTACGGTTGGATTTTGTGAAAAGGAATTGGATAAGCATTACTCTCAATTGCTTCCCACAAACTTATGGCTTTCAAATATGATTTCATTTTAATAGCCCACATATTATAATTATCTCCTTTGAATATGGGAATGAAAAGTGAAAAATTGTTTGGGGTAGACATTAGATACCAAACCCTAATCTCACGATTTTTAATCTCACAAACCCTAAGGATCAAATGACTCTTGATACCAATTTTGTTGGTGAAAAGATAAATGTAGATAGAGAATGTTAATTCATAGAGGCTAGAAAATACAAATTGTATTCTTAAGCTATTAAACATATAAAGGCCTTAAAATAGGCAGAAAACTAATCTTAAGCCTAATCTTAAGTTGTTATTTGAAACATGAATATAGGAAACATGAATATGCTGTTATTAGTGCTCCAAAACTAGTGGAACTTTAGTTGCATATTATTTTCCCAAGTGTCAGGAAAAAAAAAAAAAAAAGTCAAAGTATTTGAGTTAGTGGTGGAGTGTTTGTTACCCACTTGTTTGTTATTTCGTATGGAGTAGTTTATAGCTTTGTTAGTTTTTTAGAGTTGAAAGCCTATTTATATGGGCCTAGCTTAGTATCCTCTTCCCTAACCTCTATATAGTGCTAAATGCTCTTGTAATCCATTTTCTTCATATCACTTTTACTAGCTAGTCATACTTTTTCTTTATTTTTTTTTTTGGTATCCTTTGTCTTCTTTATATATCCCCATAGTCCCGACTTTCAACATGATAAACTTCTAGTATTTCATATATACAGAATTAATTATAAATTTTAATAAATATCCTATTACCTATTTTTATTTCCATCATAAAATTCGTTTTTAAAATTTATAAAATAAGATCCATTTATAATATATTGAATTTATTAAAAAAAATGATAGAGAATCAGTAAATATAAATTTTAATTAGTAAAAATAGTTTTAGTTTGGTAAAATACTTTAAGTTCGGTAAAAATAATTTAAGTTCAATAAAAATAATTTCAAGTCAATAATAACATAGATATCTATTTACCAACGTGGTCAATTGATCGAATTTTTTGAGGGCATAAACTAAGTTTTACTGGAATTTGTAATATACACTTGGGTGCACCGTACAACCAACTAACTCAAGGTTAGATTTTGCTCTTCATTTGATGATTAAATGAAAAACAATTATCAAAATGAAAGCAAAATACTTATGGGTATACGGTGCACCCGGGTGTATATAACAATCTCTCTAACGTGTACTTCTGCCTATGTGTGAGGATTCCCTTAGCATCTCCTGCTCTCAAAGTCTCAAGCTTTGACATGTGTAAGTGGACTACTTGACATGTGAGAAGTGTTCTTTCAACATGATTCTTATCCAGGAAGAACTGAGAAATACCAAGTAATTTTATGGTATATTGGGATAATCTACTAAAAAGATGTTGAATTGTTTATTTTAATTCATGGTTTTGGACGGTAACATATTACTTTTATTTGTAGATTGTATATTGAAAAACACTATATTAATTAACATTGAAATCAGCGTTTAGCTGCTTTCATTTGTAGATTGTATATTAAAAAACAATATAGTAATGTTTTAGGTTGTTTTATATCTAAGGTAGTAAGGTTAATCATTATTGTCTTTTACCTTAAGGGCTTATTTGACATCGTTTATTGTTTTTAGTTTTCTGTTTTTTTTTTTAAAACAAAAAACCAAAAACAGGAAACAAGAAAAGGATGTTTTCATATTTCTGTTGTCAGTTTTTAAAATTATCATAATTTCAACAAGTTTGACTAATTTTTGATTTATTATATGATATATATCATATGATTTTGAAAAATAAAAAACCAAAACACAGAAAACTACAGCGATGTCAAACGAACTCTTAGTTTAAGATTTTGTTAGAGTACATAAATCCAATTATCCCAACAAGTGCTTGCTAAACTTAAATCTCATTCAACCACATCATTGATGACAACCTAAAGTTTGAATACTCAATCATGCATGCATGCTACTTTCGCTAAGAGTTTCATGATCATTTAGGAATAATAATATCTAGAATTCTAGATACCTTCAATTGGAGGAGGAAACTAGAAAAGTGTATGTGAAGAGCGAAATCCCTTACTAGGCCTGGTATGGGCCTTGGCCCAGTTCATGACTTCAGAGTTTTTAACATGGTTTATTTGATTTGATTTAGCTGGTCTAGTAACATGGACAAGCCCATATATATATATAAAATCCAAATTATACTTGTTGTAGTTGATTAAGATATTTCAATAGGATCCTTGAAAAAAAAAATAAAAAAAATTGAATTCGACCAAATTAATGTTTATTAAAGTTGACAAAATTAATGTAGCTAATTTAGCATTAATGCAATTGCAAAGTTATTAAGATTTATATACTAACCTTGCACTAGTTTAAATATAAAAAATATTAAATAAGTGATTATATAAATGAAAAATTATCCGCAATAACACCAACTATGTGTAAGGTTCATACAACAGCATAAACCATTACCAACAACACAAATTTCAACAAGCGTGTAGGCAATGACATAAATTACATCATTGAAGCATAAATAATAATAAAAAAATGAATATCACCCTTTGACATATAAATTTTTTTCATACTTATTCCTAGGAGCAATGCATAGGGGAGGGAAGAGGAAAATTGAATTTCTCTTGATTATATTACGTTCGATGATTTCCTAAAAAAAAAAAAAAAATTAAAAAAAAATAAAAATTGATGAGATTCGACTAGTGGCCTCAAGCCTATAATTCAAAAGTGTTAATCAACTATTTTAAACTTCTATCTCAAGTGGTCTACTTTTACGTATAAGTGAAGAAAGATCAATCTACTGGGCTGCTGGCAGCAGAAGTATGATGTCTCAGATCAATAGTTCAAAAAATTACAAAGCCGAAACTCATGTTACATGATAATGGCAAGATAAGTCAGTATCGACAAAAATCAGGAATGCTGTTATACCTATGGACGGCACTTCATGTAGTGCCTCTGCTGCTCTCAAGTTTCAACTCTTCAATTAAAGCAACTATGGCAGCCTATCCCCTTCTTCACTAGGAAGTTCTGATGAAAAAACGAAGAAATTACTCACTTTTTACACTTGTGACATTGCAGCTCCCTTTGTCTACAGAAACTTTTAGCTTTTGACCTCGCAAGCCATTCCAGAATGCAGCTGCATTCACCACTTTCTTGCCTGGGAGCTGAACTTCTAGAACCTGCATTACCATAATGTTCTCTGCTTTAATTATCAATGAATATATTAGGAAATTTTTGATTAAATCCAATACCATATTTTAGGAAATGTGACAGTATTTCCAGTCGGCCCAAATTCATATACATGACTATATTAATATTTATACGAAAGGAGTTCAAAAGAAAACTATGGGGCATACACACAAACATTAGTGATCATCCTTATACATTAAAGCATTAGAGATTCTTATCTTGACCAATATTGGATATGGCAATTTGGCATACCCCACAACAGATACCTCCTGCAACCGAAGGAAAGGAAAAGGCATAGCTAATTCTAAAAAAAAAACTGAAGAATCAAATACTCTGACCTCCAAAGCTGTGCCTCCACCACAAGTAAAGATCAATGCACCATTTCTGAAAGCAACATAATCTGCCTCAGCATTCTGAGCGTTGGAAACTTTTGTTGAAATTATTTTTAACTCTAAAACATTCTCTTGAGCATGTGCTGCATCCACAACTAGAAATCTAGCTCGAGTTCCAGGCCAACCTGCAAATGCCCGTACCTAAAAATGTCGTCATGATTGACTCAAATCATATAAGAGTGTAAAAGAGTACTACCTTATTATGCAGGACAGTAGCGTCTTGATCAAACGATAGCCATGATTCTTCGGGAGTAATCTGCACAAAGTTATCAGTTTATCACCTCTTAACTCAGCTTGCACGGAGAAAAGATCCCCAGCATAGCATATTATAAAGTAACTGAATAAATACCTTTGGAGCTAAGGTAGCTTTAGAATCATCTTGAGGTTGTGCTTTAGTTCTTGCTGTTCCGTCAATTATTGAAGGAAGCTCGTGCAACAAAAGTTTTGAGCCTATAAAGCATAATACCATAGCATCAGAAATGTACTTGCTTTTGGGTTGAGAAAAATTTGTTTACTCAGTCTTGTATGAAAAGGATAGAGACAACATTTGCAAAATGTACGGAGTACAATAATTTAAGATACCATCCACTCTGTCAAAAGCACCAAATCCTCTTTTTTTCAAATTTAACTTTTCATCATCTAGCATACATATAATTACATTGCATCAAACTTAATCCTGGTTTAACAATGTAATTATATGTATGCTAGATGATGAAAAGTTAAATTTGAAAAAAAGAGGATTCGGGAACAACAATATCCCAGTCAACATCAATTTGAGTTCAAGTTATAATTCCATACTTCCATATAAGTTACTTGTGCAGAAATGAAGCACCTATTTCACAATACAACTTTACATTACGCATAACATGTACAATATATAAAGTTGCAAACCAGGGACAGCTGAGATCAATAACAGCTCAAGTCAAGGCTAACATATCAGCTATTTAACCAAGAAAACAGAAATTTTGCAGCAAGTAGTTGATATATAAAAGAAGTTGACAGCTGACACACCAAGATCAAAGAGAAAATCCAGTAAATCTGGTGCCTGCATGCAAATTGGTGAAAGTATATTAGTTAGACAATTGTGCTCACTGCGACCTACATTTGATTGAAAACTATATACACCATGTTACTAAATTTAGAGCAAACAGAAAAACATTATGGTATCTACAACAAACCATTTTGTCTAACAAGACTTCAGAGCTACAAGATAATTCTTGATGCAAATAAAAAATTATGATACATCCACTCCTTAGTAATTTCACTTTCTTAATAATCTATATATAGACTCAGGTTCTACATACAACTCCAAATCAATAATTGAGTTTCATGATAAGTATATGTACCTTAATATTGTCATCCACACCAACTTTTTGAGATGCAATGATAGGTCCAGCATCCAGTGCTCTAACAGTGAATGCTAATGAAACTCCAGTTTCCCTAACACCATCCTGGATAAAATTGAAACACCCAAGCATATATATATTAAAAATATGCATGCATGAAGGTAAATAGTAAAGATCTAATAAATCATTTTAACCTGCAATGCTCTTTGAACAGGAGCAGCACCACGATAAAGGGGCAGCAAACTTGGGTGTATATTTACTGTGCCTATACATGTGCAGAAACAACAGAGAAAGTATTGGGTTGAGAACTGGAGAGGGGAAAATGAGTGGAAATAAAAATAAAATAAAAATTAAAAAAAAAAAAAAGAAAAGAAAAGATAAAAATCATAGTGATTCCATTCTCATCTATTAACTAGGAAATTGATGCTATCATCTCAGTAAGGTGCTCTATTGCTATGGTCACATAATCAATGGGATACAAATATTTGAGGGACTGTAAAGGGATTGACGTACCAACCTTGCTTTGGAATGTTTAGAAACTTGTTGGATAGAATATTCCCATACGCTGCTGTAATACAAAGTTCAGGTTCCAAGGCTCTAAGATTGGCCAAAAACCATTCCTGGGTAATATGAGTACATAAAATGATCAACTCAATCATTGCTTACCTAACAATATTAGAGCTACAAAGAGGATATTACAGAAATTGTCACTGCTTAAGATAATTTAATAAGCATCTACAAGAAGTAGCCTTTCTGGAATCCAACAGCATTGACAATGGACCAGTTATGGTTCCTGAGGCAAGGTGTGGGGAGGTCTACAAGAAATCCTAGTACCTTGACACTAACCATATAATACAAGAGAAGCTACTCTTGAAAATCCTGTAGCCTTTTCTGTTTCAGAACTATGAATTTTATACCTAATAGTTGGTGAGATTGAAGCTGATAGAATCTCAGCGTATACCATTTTGCAGTCCACCTATGATGGATATGGGTCGAATTCAATAGTATAAAACAAATTTCACTATGCATAAGTACTTATGCCCCAAAGTCAATCAAAGCACAACATTTGTTTATCATGTTACAAGGTAGCACATGGGAGTATGGGACATGATCTCCCTGATGGTGCAGTCTATCGTACATATAACAGGCTCACAACATTTCTTGCATATTTCATTCGTTATTAGAAACCAAGGCATATAATTTAAATCTTGAAACAAACTATTGCAAAATCCTACGCATAAGCTTCATCTAGTAGACACAATTATAGTTCCCTAGTAACTCTAAAGTCACCATATACAGCACAATAATATCAACATAATATTTTACAATAAAAGCATAATTTGGAGTGACCAAGCCACGGTTATCACCTCATTTGCACGCTCGGGTGTGAAAATGAGATCAGAAGAGAAACCCCTTTCAAGGGCATGTTGTGCAACAGCAGAAGGCAAGACCTTTCTGCCTCTATTTCTCTGAGATGGAGGTTGGGTGACAATAGCTGCAACCTAAATCACAAATATTCACAAGTAATTTGAATCAATGATCCAACCAGCATGACAATACAGGAACTGAAATGTAACGGCACCACATTCTCGAGGGCATAATTACATGAAGGATTATCCATTAGCCTCATTTTCAGACAATTTTCTTCTTAAAGTTTTATGAATCTAGTAAACAGTACATGCTCTCAAAAGCAAATATGTTATAACAAAACAATGAAAGACAACATCAACTTCCAAACCACAACTAAAGTACGCCCAAAGGGATCATGACCTTAGCGACTTAGCCAGCAATAGCAAAGACACTTTTGAAGTTTCTACTTTCTAGTCACTAAAAATTGAGGAATAACAAATAATTTTAAGAAAAAAATACATGTTTACATTGTTCACAACTTCTGCTTAGGAAGGGACATAAACAATGTTGTCAAGAAAGTAAGGAAGAAATTTGCACAACGGATTTCCTAATTCCGTTCAAAGGCAAGTAGGTTATATCTTAATTCACCCAATCACCCACTTCAAAAACAATCCTTAATTAATACCCATTTCAATAATGGATCAATAAGACCAGTTGGGGTAAAAGAAAGGGGGGCAAAGTCTTCAATTGATTACACAAAAATAATTTTTCTCCTTAAAGGGAAGGGGAGGTTGGGGAATTAAAAAAATAATCCATCTTCCTCTAAACAAAATTGGCATGGAAAAACTAGCATGGGAAATATGTAAGGTCCTATCCTACTTACAAACATTCATAGAAATTACATTACTAATTTTGAAAAGACTCTTGTATTTGGAATAGCATATTATAAGGATGAATTATTCTAGCCAATGATTGTCATGAGGGAGTATGTAAGACGACATACCTCACAGGGTGAGAATGTGGAAAGTGTACATACTGAGGAAAGAATTAAGTCTTTATTGAATAATTGATTCTCCTAGATATACCAAGTTCAATCATAATAAGATAAAATATAATTCACACACCAAGGCTTATAGTGCAGTCAAGGCTTATTGCCCCACACCTACATGCCTGTAGGGTCGGTTTAAAGGACTCATGCATCAAAGCAATCAGCGTGTGAAAATACATGTTTGAAACAATGGCCGGCTTAATTGGGGGTATCAAGTCACGGGTTCATACAAATATTAGGATTAGGGCCTTCCTTAGAGCCCCCTCTTCCCTTTCCTTAATTCTAAGATACAGAAGATTAGGACCAAGCATGTAATAGAAGGTTCAGCGTTCCCCACTCTTTTATCACTACAAAAAAACGCCACTGCTCTTACAAGAGAATTCGTTGTATCAAAAAACATATGTAAATCATTACCACTTATTCAAGCTCCTATACACTATATTAATGTTGATGTTAATGCTTCTCATACAAAACGTGACTAATTTAAGGCAGGGTTGACAGGTGATTAGCACCAACTTAGAGTCTTGGATTAAAGGTTTCAGTTTTCAAGAATGTTTTAAAATTCTGATTGCAAGAACACAATGAACTAATTAAATTAGAAAGTTGAAACAAGGGAAGATAATCACTAGACATACACAACAGCTCATGAATTAATGTAGAAATCTCAATGCAATCATAACACATTTCCATGTCTTCCACCAAATGCTCAATTGCTACAACAATCATAACCCCAACTCCAATTGCAATCCATAATACACAACTGTTTCAAAATATACAAAATCACTAATTTCCCACAATGTAAATCAATCAAGTCATAACATAGAGAAAATCATTACAAAAACAAGAAAAAAAAAAAACCCACCAAAAATGAAATGATTAAAATTGGAAAACCAACCTCAAAAGATGAGTCTTGGGACTGGGATGCATTAAAAAGAGCATCTAGAATCTTGGCAGAAACCTGAGGAGAACCCAAGAAAACAAGAGGCTTCCTTTTGTTATTCAAGGATGATGAACAACGAGGATTGCTCAAGGTTGCGCGACAGATGCTGCGTCTCAGCAACATCGTTGAAGTGTTGTTCATTCTTTACTCTCTTTCCTTAAATTGATGGCCTGTGTTACCCAACAGAGGTTCTATCTCCATTGAAGAGAAATTGACGTGATAAAGACAAAATACGGAGTAAAGAACAGTTTTATGAAATTACGAGGCAGCCCCAGTTTATCATATCTAGTGACAATTTCGTAAATAAATCAACATAAAATTAAGAGATGAATACTTCTTTTCTGTCCTTGGCCTCGGCCTCTTGATGCAAGCAGCAAGTGTGCGACTTTCTCCTGCTCCCAGAACCTGGAAATTTTGCAAATTCATCCATCTATACAATAATACTTTGATATGGTTGTTGTAAATTTCCCTTGCCACATACATTTGGTCCATCTATATAATACTGTCTGTAATCAAACAAACAAATAAGCAAACATACTACATCCGTTTTATATTGAGTGAAGTATAAATGTGGGCACTAAACTTTGCTATTTGTTGCAGATTGCGTACTCACCTTTCACTTGTTGCAGATTGCATACTAAACTTTGTACTCAACTTTTTTTACCTATTGTACCAGGTTATGGAATTAATAACTAATTTTTTTTACCTGTTGTACCAGGTTATGGAATTAAAAATAATAATAATAATAATAATAATAATAATAATAATAATAATAATAATAATAATAATAATAATAATTCTTTTTTTTTCAAATACCTTGAAGTCTAAGTTGAAGTTGTGGTAGATCAGATTTATTTTATACCTAGGATTTTAATGGAAAGTTCTTATATGATACAAAATCCGGTATACTATCAAAACAAACTATGAGAGATTACAATGTCAAGGATTAGTTCAGATTATAATGTCCAGGATTAGTTCAGATTCTAACGTCAAGGATTAGTTCAGATTTTTTTTTTTTTTTTTTTAGCTTTAAAAAATAAATAATTCTTGAATGCAAAACAAATTTTTTTTTCCACAAGTTATGTTGTATTCACATATACATACTTCCAGTGGTATGATTTCTTTGTTTTTTGGGCAAGGTGTGAAATTATAATGTCAAGGATTAGTTCAGATTAATTGTGGGCTACTTTTTTTTGCCAAATTTGCTCAGAAATCTGGGTAAAATCCTTCTCAACTCCAAAATCAAAGCCTTTATCTAATCTTACATGCTTTCTTTCCAAATTCGATATCTGGGTTTTAGCATACCAGCGTTCTGTTGCGCATTTTACTGTTAATTTCCTAACTCCAGCGCTACTCACTCGTACACATTGCATCATCTTCTATCGCTTCGTAATGCTGTGTTAAAGGTCAGTTTCAATGGAATATGAAAACTGAATTGTATAATCGTAGTCCAACTGAAAAACCCATTACTGAAATTACCTCTAAAACAATGTTGAAGAAGCTGTTGAGTTCTAGTTACCTACCGTTTCAAGACCGTGTTGTTCAGGAGGCTTTGTTGTTTATTCTTGACTCTTGAGCTTGTATTTGAGTCTAGATTTTCGTCGAAATCGCACGGTTTTCGCCCAAGGCGAAATGCAATGTGTAATTTTGCTGGGGATTAGGACTATTAGGAGTAATTTTGCAGGGTATCTTTGGTATTTGAGAGGTGATTTAAGTGAGGTTTTGGAAAATTTTGAGAAGGGTTTAGTGATGAATTGTGTGGAGGAAGTTGTGAATGATAAAAGGGTATTGGTTTTTTTTTTTTTTTCTTTGATAAACCGGTTACAACCTGTGAGTACAGATTAAGTGGTCGGAATATTCTCTCCGACAAGTACTATCCCATAGTTTAGTACCCAATTTGCAACTTCTAATAGTTGAGTACCCAATTAGTAACAAATGAAGTTTAGTACTCACACATTATAGTTCTCTCGTTTTATATTATTTGCAACGATTAAACACTTTGCACTAACACTTTATTTTAAATCGTCGCAAATAATATAAAACAGAGAGTACATACATAATTACATACATTTGAGTAATTGATTTTGATTAATGAAATCAGTAAAGTTGTGTCAAGCAGCATGGACATAGCGTTTGATTTGATTAATACACCATTAATTAATTAAACTCAATGAAATCCAAGAAAATCAATCTCAACGAGTAGTGAAAATAAGAGAAGTAAGTGGTAATGCTACATACAAAAAGTTGAGAGTGGGATGGTTAAGGAACTTACTTTTGGTTCCACTTGTGCTCTTGAATTCTTCCTCTTCCCTAATTCGCCATATTTCGATTGAAGCATAATTTGCAGGTCCTGTAAATTTTGGTGGACTACATAATTTGAGAACTGGACCTGTTCTCAAATGGGCCAGCCCTTGACAAGGTCAGCTATGCGGGCTTGGCCCATTTCATGACTTCAGAGTCTTTGACATGATTCATTTAATTTAATTTATCTGGCCCAAATACTAATATTTCAAATGGATGGACTGTTAACGATGAAATTGACCAAATTATTGTTTTTTTTTTTTCAAGAAAAAGTTGACAAGATGAAATTGACCAAATTATTGTTTTTTTTTTTTAAAAAAAAGTTGACAAAATTAATGTAACTAATTACTTAATATAGCATCAATGCAATTGCAATTTGCAAAGTTTTAAAGGTTTGTAGACTAACCTCACACTAATTTAAATATCAAAAATATTTTTTATGAAGAACATCAAATAAAAGCGATACTGTAATATATAGGACTGGGTATCGGTCTAGAGCCTTATCTATTTGGCATCTGCGCCCTCGATTTATGTGTTATTTATTCATTCTTACTTTTTTTTATGCCAATGTTGGTGACTGGAGATAACTCTCTTCAATTATTCTTGGGATGGGAGGGAGTAGGTCTTGCTTCATATTTGTTAATTCACTTTTGGTTTACACGACTTCAGGCAGATAAAGCAGCTATAAAAGCTATGCTTGTCAATCGAGTAGGTGATTTTGGATTAGCTCTTGGGATTTCGGGTTGTTTTACTCTTTTTCAAACAATAGACTTTTCTACCATTTTTGCTTGTGCTAGTGCCCCTAGAAATTCTTGGATTTTTTGCAATATGAGATTGAATGCCTACCCTGCCCGCAATAACACCAACTATGTGTAAGACGCAAATAAAAGGAAAAACTTGTACCAACGACACAAATTTCGATCACGGGTGTAGGCAATGACATTAATTACTCCATTGAAGCATAAATGATTAAAAATTGATGTCACACAACTACACAAGAATTCAACCCAAACCAAACCCTCTATTTTTAGGCTAGGTTCAAGTCGAGTGAATATCAAGTTGAGTCAACTTTTACTAGCTATAATTTTATTATATCACCAAATTAAAATGCTAGGAGTGACATAATTATTTTCTCTAAAATGTATGAAGTAACAAACAATAGACACATCAATTGAAATTTAATGTGTGCAATATTAGCGTAAAGGCCGTCAAGCGTCCACGAATAACAAAGCTCCATGTGTACGTAACAAAGTAAGTAATAAGTCAATAAGTAACAGCATCACCTATTTATGGAATACTGTTAGACTGCATCATCACAAGCATCTAATGCTGATGACTCGCTTTGCAACTCGCATGAGCTGCCTGCTAGCTGCTGCCTGCTGCATGCAATGTCGTGACTCGTGAGACGTGAGATTGGGTGAGGGTTGAATCTAGAAACTGAACTTAGTTATGAGCTTATGACTTCATAGTAGCTAGCAGTTCTCTTGCAAAGCAACGTGGCATATTTGCAATGGGAAGGGTGGATTGGTAGTATAAGCACAAACTTACAATATAATATACATAAAACTACCAAGTGTAACATGCAATCGCAACTATCTCATTATTGTACGGTTGTACCTATTTATGGTCTAGTGATGTAAATTATGTACTTGTAATTTAAAATGGTAATGTGATCATAAAATTGACAGCTACATTTGGATACTAGAGTAGAAGTACATACCATAGACTATGCATCAGCGCATGCAACTTCCAATCTTGAGTTTGCGGCATTGGGGGTTCAATCTCCACTAGTGACACTTTGAGGTTGGACATCCTTATCCTCTCCCCCCCCCCCCCCACTTTAAAAGTGTCTAGCTTGTAAATTTTAGACCAAAAAAACCTTGAGGTTTGAAGTCTAATCAGGGTCCCTCTCCTTACCTTAAAATGAAATTAAACACCATAAATCACATACATAAAGTAAAGCGATTAGATTACTTAAATACTTCGTATTTATATTGATTTGACTATAAGGAACTTTATATACAGAATAAGGTGTTAAGAGTAAGACTAGACTTTATATGACCCTATCCTAATCGATCTAACAATAATACAGTACATGTTGATGAAAACAACTCGATCTATGTCCATATTCTAATCTAGATATTTGTAGAGGGATTGCTATATAGATGATATTATTGATATAGAGGGATGATAGGATGAATATTAAAATGTAGGAATACTACCATAATATCGACTGTGAACAAAGGTTGACAAGGAGTTATATATGATACTCCATAAAATAATTAAAATATATATATATATATATATATATATATATATATATATATATATATATATATATATATATATATTATTCTTGCTCTGATCCATATATAAAGCATTAAACTCATAATTATTACCTCAATATTTGATTTAAAATTTGTTTATTTTTTTCTTTGAAAATATTAGTACATCAAGATTAGGGGAGTCTTCTCTCTAGACTGAAATCCTACTTTATTAAGAGAAATAAAATTTAATATATAAGAATAGATTTATATCCTGATGATCGGTCTGACGAACGAAGATGAGTTAACGCTAAAAATTATAGAAGAAAATATATATATATATATATATATATATATATATATATATATATATATATATATATATATATATATATATATATATATATATATATGGATTTTCCAATTTTGTCCTTCAATAAAATTATTTTAATATGAAAATATATAAAATGTTCAAATGACTAAAAGAAGCTAAGACATTACAATTGCAAGGAACGTACCACACGGCCACGCCATTTGTTGTGAAGTTTGGAGTTAAGTTGTTTGATACCTCTAGTGATCTTATTATATACGTAGTAGTACAGACGTACAGTAGTAACTAGTAAGTACCACACAGTACAAGAATAATGAGTATGGTCTCTCTACTCGTGCTATTAATATAGTTACTATGTACACCTTAATTACTATTGATGTCTCCCAGCTCATCGTCGGTGCACCCAAACCACCATATCATTGGGACCTTTCTTGGAAAATTCAATGTTATCCCTTTTATATCGATCACACAAGTGTTCTATCTTTTTATAAGTTAGAATCTACGACAGAGTAGCTTCAAGAAGAGTGATAAAAATCAATTGATGATATAACATAGTACGATTATTTACAAAAGGTTAATAAGCTAAGGGGCTAAGGGCTACCCGGCCCTTATCTTAGTGCACTTTAAGATAAATTCAATAAATTAATTTAAGTAAGTGAAAATTAACAGAACAAAACTTAAAATTTGAGTAATAAGAGAAATATTAGCATGGTTT